ACTGGTTGGAATATGGTGCATCTCAGCTCCTGCTCCAGCACAGCTGTTCAGCCAGGAAAGGCAAGTGCTGTGGACATGAGCAAGTGTGCTCTACACATTCCTGCAATGGCAGTGGCACAAACACATCCCTACAGGGGCAGCTCCACCCATGCAGCCAGCAAAGGGCACTTTTATACCCATGGCCAGCTCTGACGCTGGCCATGCAGCAGGGGGCAATGGTACACAAAATGGTCTCTCACTGGCATTCCCTACAGACAGGACTGACTAGAAGCAGGAAAAGGGAGACAATTGTATGGGGCCCCAAGCTCACGGGTCCCCAAAACTTCTGAACCATCTGCATAAATAAAGTCAATCTGAGGGGTTCTGGCCCCCGCAAACATGATGGACCGGGCCCCAAATCCCCTTAACCCAAACCTCTGGTAGAGTGGGTCAGACTGACGGTCGCACACACACACTGGGGAGGGGCCCGGGGAGTTCAAAAGACCAAAACCACAATGGTGTCTTTTTTATATAGAATCTTAAGATTTTGGGGGACCAATCTGATGCGGGTGAAGGTCTGACTTGCGCTTTTTGATCTCTTGTGGTTGGCAGTACTGGGGGTGGGGACAGGAAAGGTTTCTCTGGAAACGCTGGGCAGGATTTGGGAGTTTGTTCCAATCCCCACAGAATGCTGGACTGGCCCTGTAATGAGCTAAAGGGCTTCTCCAACCACCGCAGAGTGCTGCTGGAGTGATACAAACAGGGGATGGGGGTAAATGGTTCAGACACAGGAGAGTGTCTCACATGAACACCTCCAATAAATACCCTTCCCTCCCAGTTTGTCAGGGTCTGGCCAGGGACAGTCTCTGTGCCATGAGTCAAAGCTGTTGGCTCTGGCTCCTCCTCACGTACCTCTCTCCATTTCCCAGATGGTCCTGGCTCCCTGCCCTTATCTCGTCCCTCCTGGGGGCTGTTTGCAGAGAGAGGTATAAAGGGGCGGACCCAGCGGACAGCCAGGGTGTAGGGAGCCAGCGGACAAGTCTGCACCATGGGGAAGGACAGGCTGCCCGGTTGCCTGAGCATCTTCCTCCTGCTCCTCTTCCTCCTCCCTGGAGACACCTCGCCCACCACCGAACCGTAAGCTGCACACGAAGGGGCTCGTGCTGTCTTCTCGTTTCTTTCCTTCATCCCCCTCGCAGCTCTTCCTATGCCCCTCAGTCCTGCCCTGCAGCCCCCGTTATTCCAGTTTCCTTGCCTGTGAGGGAGAGCTCAGAAAAGTGTTTCTCTTTTCTCCTCTTCTTTAAAGCCAGTTTGCTTCCCTTGGCAGCCACAGAATATGCTTGTTCCCAAAGAGAGTCTGTGACCTAGATTCCTGACTGTCAGCACAGACCCTGGCAGTGGCACACTCTGCTGGAATATCCACCTGGGGCACTGCAAACTAGCAACTTGGCTGCAACCTCGCCTCCATTGAGGGGCCTGAAGAGGGCGCGTGGCCAATCTCATCCAGGAGCTGGATGGACTCAGGGTATCCCTTTGGCAGTGTCCACTGGCAGAGAATTCCCCTGGAGCCCAGCATAGATTAGAGCGTTTTCCCTCCAGTGCACACTCCCCTTTCCTGGGTGCAGCACTCCTCCTTGCCGGTGTACACGAGTAGATGCAATTGATTCAGCGGACGATGGATCTAGGGTTGATAACTTTCTACTCGCACAAAACTGAACACCCTTGTCTGACCTCTGCCCCTCCTCTAAGGCCCCGCCCATGTCCGGCTCAGTCTATGAGGCCCCGCCCCCCACTCACTCCGTCCCCCTCTTGTTCGCTCTCCGTACCCTCAATCACTCGCTCATATTAACCGGGCTTGTTCAGGGGGCTGGGGTGCAGGGAGGGGTAATGGCTCCTGCTAGGGATGCAGGGCCTTGAGTGGGGCCAGAAATAAAGGGTTCAGGGTGCGGGAAGGGACTCTAGGCCTGGATAGGGGGTTAGGGTGCGGGGGGGGGGGTGAGAGCTTCGGCTGGGGTGTGGTCTCTGATGTGGGGCCGGGGCTGAATGGTTCAGGTGCAGGAGGGGGCTCTGGACTGTGGTTGGGGCACGGGGTGGTGAAGGCTCTGGGTGGGGTTGGGCATGAGGGGTTTGTGGTGTAGGATGGTGCCCTTGGCTGGGGCTGAGGGGTTCAGAGTGCAGAGGGTAGCTCTGGGCTGGGGCAGGAGTTTGGGGCGGGGGGGATGCGGGCTTTGGGTGGGACTGAGGATGAGTGGTTTGGGATGCAGGAGGATGCTCTGGGCTGGGATTGAGGGGTTCAAAGGGCAGGAGGAGGATCAGGGCTAGGGCAAAGGGTTGGGGCCCGGGATGGTATCAGGGGTGCAGGCTCCGGGCAGCGCGTATCTCAAGTAGCTCCCGGAAGCAGCAGTATGTCCCCCCTCCATCTCCTACGCAGAGGCACGGCCAGGAGGGTCTGAGCGCTGCCCCATCCTCAGGCACCACCCCTGCAGTTCCCATTGGCCACGGTTCTGGGGTGGTGCTTAGGGTCGGGGCAGTGTGCTGAGCCCCGTGGCTTTGCGTAGGAGCAGGAGGGGGGCATGCTGGCTGCTTCCTGGGAGCTGTGTGGCGTGGAGGTTAGCAGGGAGCCTGCCAGCCCCGCTGCGTGGTGCCGCCAACCAGACCGTCAATGGTCCGGTCAGCAGTGCTAACTGGAGCCACCAGGATGCCCTTTAGACTGGGTGTTCCAGTCGAAAATGGGACACCTGGTCACTTTAGATGGATCTAGTCCCATAACTCCAATGTCAGATCTCTTAATCCAATGAACTCCATATTGTTTTGAATTGCCATCCTGCCAGAAATTCTGACATTTCAAAAATTGGTTTCATTGCAAATTGGAACACACAGTCCAAATTTTTCATGGAATGGAAATCCCAGAAAAATTGTATTCAGAAAATCTAAACACTACCTGTACTATAATATAAAATGTTGCATATCCTAATATATTATATTTAATATTCTATAACATTCATATCATTATATAAAAGTCCAAATAAAACATGTTTACTTTATTTAAATGGGAAAGTCAAAACACTTCATTTAGACATTTTTCCATTCAAAATGTCAAAATTGATACGCTCCTGCAAAATGTCTCCATTGTGATGAAACTGCATTTTCTGACAAAAAAGGGTTCCGTCCAAATTCTTTACCCTAGCTCTGTTCCACTCTGAGCATGTAGTTTCATCTGGTCAGACTTGTCTGGATCCTGCACCTTTAAATGGAGAGACGACCCCTCTGTGCTGCAGAAGCACCTGCCATTTTGTGTTCAGTTGCATCCTACAGGAGAGGCCCCACTATTCTCTCTCCATCTGTCTTACCAAGACCTGCCTTTTGTCCTGTCTCGTTCTCTCGGTCTAAACTAAAGTTTGTTCTTGCTGAAAGGGCAGAGGAAGAACAGAACGTGGGGCACTGTCACCAAGTCTGTTCTGCTCTGTGAGACATTTTATGCAAATATTAATGAAATAATTTGCATATTTGTGAATACTTTGCATATGAGCATAAATGTAAGCTCATGGT